GTCGGGGGCGGCGCGGGCCAGCATTGCGGCGTGCGGGCCGCTGCTCCTTGCCTGGTGCGCCCAGATGTCCACCAGCAGGTACTTCTTGCAGCTGGGCCAGGTTTCCAGCGTTTGCTGGGAGAACCAGCCCTTCTGCGGGGCGCAAACAGGGCAACACGGAAGCATCAGAGCTGCGCCATCGGGCAACCGACACCAGCTGCTGCGCCGCACCTTGACCCCCAGCTCAGCGCCGGTGGTGAAGCCCTCCCGTTCCAAAAACGCCCCCATGCCCTCGCGCCGCTTCAGCGGCAGCAGCGCCTTGGAGGCGCACACGCGCCCGCCGCCTGCCTGCACCGGGGGCTGCACCAGGGCGGGCTGGGGTGAATGCCAGGGAAGCTTTTGCTGCCCTGGTGTCGCCCAGCACAACACGCTGTTGTGTGCTCAGCTCGGGGCGGACTGCTGGCCCTACCGACCTGTGGCCCGACAGCTTGCAACACAGCGCCCACAGCCAGCGCAGCCACCAACAAGGAGACGAGGACTCGCTGTCGAAGCCGCTTTGCTGCTGCTACAGCTGGAGCTGGGGAGGCTGTCATTGCTGCCAGCCCCTGCCTGCCTGCAGGACAGCAGCAAGCCGCACTCCAGCTGCCGCCTGTGGCAAGGCGGGTGGCGGGTGCCAGCAAGTGGCAGGAGCCTCACGTGCGGCCGCGTCGATCGAGTGCCACCGTGATCAGCAATCTCTACCGCTAGTTAGGATCGCTGCGCAAGCCGCTACAAAGAGTTTGGACGGTGGTTGGCAGGCTGTAGCGGCGCCCCTGACAGCAGCAATGCACGCTGTACACGTTGCTGCTGGAGGGGTACTCGCATGATCAGGCGCATGGCGCACGCAGGTGGGCTTCTCTCCGCTATGACTGGGCGGGCGCCAGCGGGGCGTCTTGATGGCGCTGGCAGCGCCGCGCTGGGCCCTCCCATATGGACGACCCCTCTGCAAACATTTGCTTGCTGAGTGATCCACGGACGTTGTTGCCCAAAATTGGTGCCATGCCTGAGCTCGTGCCTCTACTGTGCTCAACACCGTCGGCGGCGCTCTTTTCACCTCACGCATGTAGCGACAACTTTGTGGCAGCTTAAAAAGAGGATCTGTCACAGAAGTATGTGCATGCCTCACATGATCTCCATTGTATAGCGACGTGAACATTTGACAGCATGCATCATCGCCGGAAACAGGGGGGGCGGACGGGCGGGTGCAACAGCAGCATCTCCCCTTGCATCAGCTGATCGCGGCATCAGCCACATGGCTACATTCCGAGCATCACTTTTCTGCGTTCTACCCTCAGAAGTGCAAGGGAGAAGGGGGCTTTGTTTGGGTGGGGCACTGCGTGCGGTTGAGCAGTTGTTTGTTTCAGCAGCGGCGCCTAAGAGGTTAGTATGCTGTTCGCATGCAATTTCAGTTCGGTTTGCCGCGCTGGGAGTCGGAACCGGGGCCGCCATCCCGGCGTCGCGCAAACCCGAAGGCCCGCAAGCTCAAAGTGGCGTGGATGGGCGTCTCACGTGCTTTGAGGCTCAAAGACGCCGGCTTTGCCGCAGCGCGACATCCTCTGCCGCCGCCGCCGCCGGCCGCCGCCACCGACCGATACTGGAGCGCGGTGCCCCTAATGTGCAGACTTCCACCATAACCTAACCACGCAACCTATTGGGAACCATTTATTATCTTGCACCCCTGCAAGGCACAATGCGGGCTGCCGCTGGCTGGTTGGCCGCGCTGGTGCTGCTGGCGGTGGCGCGGCCCACCTGCGCGGCTCGTGCCGCCTTCCAAACCACCACCACTATTGCCCCAGAGGCTGTGCTGGGTGTGATGGTTGTAGCCATGCTGGTTCTGCTGCTGGCCGTGGTGGGCATCAAGCCGGACAAGCAGCGCAAAGGGGGCAAGCGCGGGCCGGGCAGCAGCGAGGCAAACGGCAGCGAGGCAGATGGCGCCACCACCCCGCTGCTGGCGGCCGAGGTATGGGACCGCTTCCCCTGGTCTTGCATCGGCAATGGTGTGCTCTCGGCTGTGCCGTGCACCGCAGATCTCATGTTGTGCGTGCGTGCGGTGCTGGACTGTTGCAGGAGGGAGCTGCCTCAACCACCAACAGCCACAGCGACACGGCCCCCACAGAGATTGTGGTGCACGGCTCCAACGGCGTCCAGGCGGCCGCCTCCTCGCCCCCGCCGTCGCCTGGCATCCCCTACTCTGAGCTTGCCGTCGGTCAGTGCAGGCAGGGGTCGACCTGGGGAAAGGAGGGCACGCTTCCCCCGCGCCCGTTCTTTGAACAGCAGCCTGTGTGTGCTGCCCCGCGGCCTGCAGGCGTGCCCGGGGAGTCGTGGCCCGGGGAGCGGCGTGTGGCGCTGACTCCTGCCGGCGCAGGCGCCCTGCTCAAGGCCGGGTTCCGCGCGGTGGTGGTGCAGCGGGGCGCCGGGGAGCAGGCCAACTTTTCGGTGAGGCGGGGTAGAGCGCTGGGTGGTTGGGCGGCTGAGGGTTGCATGTTCAGGGGTGGTGTGGGTTAGAGGGTGGAGGCGCGGGTGGCTTTACGAGAGCTGACAGCGGGGCGCTCACCTTCCTGTGATGTTTCTCACTGGCAGCCAAGGCCTGGAAGAAAGGAAACCTCCCTCCCTCCTGCCTGCCTGGCCTCCGCAGGATGAGGAGTATGCCGCCGCCGGCGCCGCGCTGGGGTCCCGGGAGGAGGCATTTGGGCAGGACGTTGTGCTGAAGATCCACGCGCCGGGTGGGATGCAGCTCACGGGCACAGCGCAGGAGGCGCTGCTGTGCGAGTGCCGTGCGCTGCCTGCCTGCACACCACGCCGGCCTCCCTGTCCCTGCTGCAGACTTGGGCGGCGAGGTGGGGCTGCTGCGCGAGGGCGCCACCCTCCTGTCCTTCCTCTACCCCGGCCAGCACCCCGAGCTGGTGCAAGCGCTGGCAGCTCGCAAGGCGACCGTGCTGGTGCGGCGGTGAACGGCCGGCCCTGCCCTGCTGGGCTGGGGGGGCGTTGGCGCCGCATGCTGCTTAATGCCAGCTGGGTGAATGGCTGCGTGCACAGGCTCATGCCGCGACTGAAGCCCTTGTCTCTTTGACTATTGCCCCTGCCCTTCCGTCTCCTGCCGCCCGCCCCCCTGCAGCCATGGACTGCATCCCTCGCACCCTCAGCCACGCCCAGACCTTTGACGCGCTTTCCTCCATGGCCAATATCGCCGGCTACAGGTGGGCCAGGGCGAGCCCGGGGGGCTGCAATGGGTGAGGAGTGAGGCGGGTGGGTGGCCACGGCACGCCGGGGCAGGTCAGGGTGCTGCTATTCGCAGCGTGCTGGCCAGGGGATGATCAGGCGCCGCGTGCCTGCCCCCTGCCTGCACCGCAGGGCGGTGATCGAGGCTGCCGCCCACTTTGGCCGCTTCTTCACGGGCCAGATCACAGCGGCGGGGCGCGTGCCGCCAGCCAAGGTGCTCGTCATTGGCGGCGGCGTGGCAGGTGGGCTTCCAGGAAGGGCGTGCAGGGGGACAGCTGGCCGGCCAGCTGGCGGCCCCTTGCTGGGGCCCAGGGGCCTGGCTTGGAGCTCAGCAGGCCCCCGGCCCCAACCAGCCACAGCGTGCCTCCCCGCCGCGCGGACCCTGGTGCATGCAGGCCTGGCCGCCGTGGGCACCGCCAAGAGCCTGGGCGCGGTTGTGAGAGTGTTTGACACCCGCGCCGCCGTGGCTGAGCAGGTGCGCCGCGCTTGAGTGGCCTGCCCGCCCTGCTGCGCCCTGGGGCTGGTCTACGGACGCTCCAGCTGCCCCGCTGCCCTGCCCCTGCTCTGCCCACCGAGCCACACGCCCAGGCATCCTCACACGCTGCAGCCCCACCCCCCGCCCCATGCACACCTGCAGGCCCGCTCCCTTGAGGCCGAGTTCCTGACGGTGGATGTGCAGGAGAGCGGGGAGGGGAGCGGCGGGTATGGGCGCCAGATGAGCGACGCGTATGTGGCGGCCGAGGTGGGCGGGGGCTGCTGTGGGAACTCTGCTGGGGGGGCTGGAGGCAGAGGTGTTTCCGGGTCGTGGTCCATGTGCATGGCGTGCATCATCGGTCGCTGCATGACCACCCCTTCCGCCTGCCCGACCGCCTGCAGATGGCGCTGTTTCGCGAGCAGGCTCGCGAGGTGGACATCATCATCACCACCGCCCTCATCCCGGGCAAGCGCGCCCCGCTGCTCATCACCCGGGACATGGTGGAAAGCATGAAGCCGGGGTCGGTCACGGGTGGGTGGGAGCTGGGTGGAGCTGGGCTGGGCTGTGGCATATGTATGCATGGTTGGACGACGGGAGGGGTGCGGCGGGTGCCTGGTGGGGGCTGAGCGGGGCACGCTTGCTGCCCAAATGCCCGCCCCTGCTGCTGTCCGCCGTCGATGTTCGTGCACCCACCCACCACCCGCTGCTGCCCCCTGCAGTGGACCTGGCGGCGGAGCAGGGCGGCAACGTGGAGACGACTGTGCCGGGGCAGGTGGTGCGCCACGGCTCCGTCACCTGCATCGGCTACACCGACATGCCCTCCCGCCTCCCCGCCCAGGCCTCCTCCCTCTACTCCAACAACATCTCCAAGCTCCTGCTGTCTGCGGGGCCCTTCAGCACAGGGTGCAAGGGCCAGCTGGCTGTCGACCACGCCGACGAGGCGGTCAGGTGGGGCGGATGTACATGTGTGGTGGTGTGTGTGGGTGCGTGGGTGGGGTGGGATGCTGGTTGCCAAGGAGGAGGTTTGCTGGCCGGGCTGCTTCGCTTCCCAGAGATTTTCGTTTCAAGCTGACCTGTTTTGTGGCGCAGCAATCTAGCCTGCCTGTCCTCTGTGCGCCTGCAGGGGAGCGCTGGTGCTGGAGCGGGGGGAGCTGCGCTGGCCTGCGCCGGCGCTGCCGGTGCGCACGCCCCTGCCGGCGCACATCACTCCATGCTGCCTTTAGAGGGGGCCTTGCTGCTTGTGTCATCTTCAGCCTGCTCCCCTGGCCTCTTTCATGGAACACATGCCCCCAAGCCCACCCCCTCTCAGCCCACTGCCCCTCCCCTGCCCACCGTCTGCCACAGGCCCCCGCACCCCCTGCTGCCGCTGCCCCCGCCGCCGCGGCCAAGACGGAGCGCACGCCAGCCAGCATCTTCCGTGAAACGCTGAGCAGCGCTGCCAGCCTGGCGGTCGGTCTGGCCGCGCTGGTGGCTTTCGGTGTGGCCTCGCCGGGGGCCGCCTTCAGGTGAGCCAGCCCTACTCTTCCACCAGGGCATGCAGGGTGCCTCCTCGCCTCCCCGCCGGCTTGCCCCCTGCATCTCCTGTTTCAGTGCCTGTTCCCCCCAGGGCCCCATAC